CGATTGACACAGAAAAATGTCAAATTTGAGTGGACAAGTGAATGTGAGGACAGTTTACAAGAAATAAAAATTCGATTAACTTCGGCACCTATTTTAACAATTCCTGAGAGGAGTGGGGAATTTGTGATTTATAGTGATGCTTCACATAAAGGCTTGGGTTGTATACTAATGCAATATCGGAAAGTAGTGGCATAAGCATCCAGATAGTTGAAAGAATATGAGAAAAAATATCCAATTCATGACTTGGAACTAGCTGCAATTGTATTCGTTTTGAAAATGTGGAGGAATTATCTATATGGTGAGCAATTCGAAATATACACGGATCATAAGAGCTTGAAATACCTCTTCTCTCAGAAAGATTTAAATATGCAGCAGATAAGATGGATGGATTTCTTAAAAGTTTATGATTGTACAATCTATTATCATTTAGGAAAAGCTAACGTTGTGGCCGACACTCTAAGTAGAAAATCTACGGGAGTCTTAACTCATCTAATGATCCAAGAAATGAGATTGTTAGAGAAAATAATGGATTGGCATCCGACTCCATCCATTAATGATGCGGTAAGTATGATTGCCAACATTAAGGCAGAACCCAAATTAATCCAACAGATTCGATCAGCACAAAAGAAAGACCCTCAGCTTATAACAATTGTAGAAGAGGTGAAGCTGGGAAAGAGAGAAGAATTCTCTATATGTAATGACGATTTCCTAAGATTCAAGGTCAGGTTTGTGTCTCGAATGATGAGAGTGTGAAGAAAGCTATCTTGGAAGAAGCAAATCACTCTCGTTATACGATACATCTCGGAAGTATTAAAATGTATCAGAGAAAAATATCCCTATCTTTTCAATAATCAAGTACACAAATTTAAAGGACTAAATTTCTTCAAGGGGGGAAGAATATAATAATCTTAAAATTAAAAAAAAAAAAAAAGAAACTTTTAATAATTGATGGTTCATATGAGCATGATGGTCCTTAGGGACTATCACTACTTTCAAAAGCTTTTGGTTTAAGTTGTTGCTGCCTTGCCACGTCCTTTAGTGGACGTGGGCTTTAAACGTTCAGGAGTAATATAATTGTTACACCTCATGTATGAGGTGTAACTTAATAAAATAATAAAATAAGGTATCTTAAGAATTTAAATAGGAGAGGCGAAGACTCCCACCTTAGAAAATTTTTTAGATCTTTCTCTAGTTGAAAAGCAGTGAGCTCTTTCTCTCTTTAGCCAAATTTTTATCAGAAGTTCCCTCTCAAATATTTTA